CATGACTTTTTCCCGTACCTAAATTCAAGGCCTGCTATCACAGCGCCTACCGGAGCAGACGCGGGAGAGACTCGTCACTGTTAACATCCTCTCCTAAGCCCGGTATGACGACGAGCGGACTCCTATGGAAGTTCAAGAGAAGAGGGAGCTCTGAACGTCTCTCAAATGTCGCTACAAGCTCCTTCGGGAAAAGTAGCCCTGAGCCTCCATGACCTACTACTCCTTTAGAGAAGAAAGAGGGTCACTGGCCTCTGTAGGGGGGCCTCTTCCGGCGCGGAAAGAGTCTTCGCTTACACGATAAAATTTAGCTTTTATGTGAGAAAGAACTTTTACAGTACTACTATTACTACCAATCTTCAACGTAGAACAAAGTAATAAAGTACTTTAGTAGTCCCAGGCCTGATATCACAGCGCCTACCCTGCAGATGAAAGACTTTATCCTTAGAGGCGGCTTCTAATTGAGTGAATGAATTCCTACTGTCTTACTAAAAAAGAAATTGCGTCTAGCAAGAAGAATCATTCTATCAGACTAGTCTCTATCATTAAGCGTGAAAAGCCAGCGCCCAAAGGTGCTTTTTCGAAAGCCGGTCAAAGAATCGATTATATGCCTGGCCAGAAGACCGATGAGCCTTACCAGTGAAGCAAAGAAGATAAATTCAAGTAGCTCTTAGAAAGGTAACTGAATGCGTTTCCGGTGTTAAAGTTAGAAGAGTAACTGCTCTCGTAGTCGTTTCCGCTCTTCTCTGTTTTGAAGCAAAGCATGCTGAAAGCAATAAACATCTTAAATTCAGCTCTGAAAGTCTCTTAGCCTACCGGTGGGCGAGCCTAGCTTGTCTAGAGAAGTATAACTAGAAAAAGTCCTGATGTTCCGTTCTTGTTGTTTGAAAAGATCTCGGATCCCTCATACTTACTTGTGACTGTGAAGAGTCTATAAGGAGAAGTGGGCATCTTGATCTGAGCTTCTTCCCTTATATAATATAAAGATCTAGCTTCTTAATTTCAAGGTATAGTCTCAAATAAAAAAGAGGAAGCCCGGCTTTGACAAGCAAGCCATAGCCAAAGCAGCAGCTTTCAGATCATAGTCCTAATTTCCACCTACCTTTCTCGCTCTATCATTCCATTCTATCAGTCCGGTAGTCGGTCCTAACAGCGGTTGAAGCCTTCGAATCAGCTAAGTGTTTAGTATCACCTTAATCCATTCTTTTGCTTTAGTCTTTCTTTCTGAGTAGTCGATAGCGAGTCTGACGGGTCTAGCACCATCCGCCAATCGCTTATTGGTGAAAGGGCTATGTAGTAACCAGTCCGGTTAGCATTTCAGTGTCCGTCAGGAAGACGAGTTTGAATCTTCTTTGTTGTATGAAAGGCTCTTTTTATATTTGGTAGGACTTCCATTTCATATCGTGTGTCGGAGAATCGGATTATTATGATGAGCGATTTGACTCTGATCCACCAGCATCCACTACCGGAAGGAATTACCTCACTTACCGCCTGCTCTTATTCCCATCGATATGCCCGGAAACAAGAACTTTCTTTCTCTAATGCCCTTTAGCTTAAGCCTGACAAAGATAGAATGTTTCACTTGCCCTACCGCTGCCCGCTTAATACTACTACTAGTGAGACTCCTATTCTGCCACCCTATCTAGTAAGAGCCTCTACAGCAATGTTTGGCGCAATCAATATCCATAATCGCTCGTCTTTCATTGATTGAGGACTTGCCTGACCTGGTAATCTTCCCATAACACAGGTGGCTTTCGTCCGGGTAGATTATTTAAGTAAAGTGATCGTGTATGCTGCGGCTTAAACTAGAAGTTAATGATGAACAGGCCTTCATTTCCTTTAGGTATTGTTGGTTAGAAGAGAAGTCTTCTCTTACTCTTAGTCGCGGGTGAAACTTGACTGTTGGAGTTAGGTTTTGGGTGACGATGCAGTTGCATAACAACCTTAAGAGCTAAGGACAAGGCTCCTCTTTCTCTGCTTTTAAATACAGTACCCTTTAATTTAAGAGAATAAGATAATAAGAGTAGCTGTACTCTTAGAGCCTACTATGACTTCTTCGTCTTCTCTTTTTCCTTTATCTAATAAGAAAAAGGGTTTTAGAGGCTTTTCTATAGCTTTCTAAGCCCTTTCTCTTAGCCAGGGGAAAATCCCAGTCTAGAGGAGAGTTTTCTATAAAAATGTGGAAAGATGAGGAATTTCCTTAACTTACTTAATAGGTTACCCGATCCCTAACTAAAAAGTGGGGGTCGAAGAGAATAGATAAAAGATTTTTCGAGGAAGGGTCTTTGCCAGGAGGCCAGAGATTATTGAATTTACATAGCATAAAGAAAGACGGACATTCTGCTTCAAGTTGCCATTGAATTGCTTTCCGTTCCCTTGCTGAGTCAAAGGATGAACAAAAAAGAAATAAAAAAGGGCGTCGATAGACAATAGACCAAGGAGCGAAAGCCACTCAGTTGATTGCTAAATCTCTAGTTCGTGAGAAGGATTTGCTGCTTGAATTGATAGAGGAATAAGACAAGGGCTTATAGCGCCTTATCTTTTTTTTTGTAATAGGAATGGAGTATCTTTCAAGGAAACTCAAGCAGGAAGCCAGAACTAATCCAAACTTCAGTTATCATAAAAATTGCAGAAAGAATGAGATTAATAATATTAGTTTTGCGGATGATTTACTAATTTTCTGCTCAGGCGCTGAAGATTCCATTGCTGTGGTCAATCAATGCTTAAAAGAATTTGCAAATCTTTCTGGTCTTACTGCATATCCAAGAGTCAAATCGACTATGGAGATCTTTCTGATGCTGCAAAGTTAAATATTTAAAATCTAATTGGCTTCAATGAAGGTAAAATGCCAATAAAGTACCTGGGCCAGTCCTTCAAAGCTCTCAGTTAGTGATTGTTTGCCTCTAATTGAGAGAATCAAAGCTAGAGTACAGAGATGGACTGGAAAATACCTCTTATATGCTGGGCAACTGGTTCAGAGTGCCCTCTTTAGCATGCAAGTTTACTGGAGTACTGTGTTCATACTGCCAGTGCAGGTTTTGATTTGAAGACAAGAAGATCTGCAGAGGGTTCTTATGGTCTGGTCCTGATATGGTTAAGAACAAAGGGAATGTTGCTTGGAAATTTGCTGCCCTTTAAATTAAAAAAAATAAGGTGGTTTCGGGCTTCATTGGTGGAGTGGAATAAAGCTGCTATGTTGAAGCATATCTGGGTTCTGGCTGCAAAAAGTCCTTATATAGATTATAGGTATGTATTTTACATACAATGCTTCTTTTTTTTATAAGCATTTTGTTGGTGTATTTAACCACAAACCAAATAATGGTAGCTGGATTTTTAGGAAACTTTTACAGGTGAGAGAGTTGGCTATAAGATATATTATACATGATGTTGGCAATGGAACCAATACATCTCTCTGGTATGACTCTTTGCTGCCTGCCTATAGGTTCTATAGTTGAAAGGTATGTATGGTGAGCAGATCATAGGGGAGTCTGGTGTTCAAAAAAAAATGTAAAAGTTGCAGACATACTTTCTAATTCCAGATGGTCCCTCCCTGCAGGTGCAAATAAACACCAGCAATAAATTGGGGAGTGTATCAGAGCCATAAGGCCCTTGAACAGTGAGCGATAAGACACAGTTATATGAATGCCTGATCACTCAGTTTTCCATAAAAAGCGCCTGGAGGTTAATCAGACATAAACAAGCTACTATGCCTTGGTTTAGGAGATATTTTTTAGTTAAGAAGGAACTCATTCGTGGACTGATTCCGACCCTTTACCAGAAGAAAACAGAGGAGCGGTATGGTTTCATAAGAGGTACTCATTATACAGATATCCTTTTTCGAATTGCCCGATTCACAGTGCCCACCTTATTCTCTCCCCAATCACACAGGAATGCTCGCTTGTCCGCCTACCAATGATGCCTTTCACTTTCAGATTCTACATATGGAGTGGAGAATGCCTCTACTACCTGTGCCAGCAAACAAACAAACAAAGACTATAGTAGAGTAGGAATGGTTTAGCTCGCTATAGGGGAGGGAGATAGTTTACGCGTCAGTTGAAAGTGGGAAAGCTCTCAAGCAGCAAGTACTTTTTATCCCTTCACATTCAAGTAAAGTATTGGGAAGGTATCTAGCCAGTGAGGCAAGTTAAGTAAGGAAATAAGGAAAGCAGCTGAAGCAAGGTGCCTAAGCCTTCAAGTTGCGAGGTCTTTTAGGGTTAGATATACTTGTAATCAGTTAGAAGAACTCGGAGTCTAAGATGGTAACAAGAGAGAACTAAGTGCAATACGTACAACCTACTAGTGACTAATTCCCCCCGGCGTCTTATTCCTGTTATCCCAGTAGTAATTGAGCAGGGCGAGGAGTAAATTTCTCTTCTTTCTTTTCTCATTAAACTATTATATATGAAATGGTGTAATTATGGATCTCATTCGTATTCAAGTGGTTTGCACTAATAGTTGCTCGAAATGGATAGCTTTGTTTCCGGGAATTCGAGGATACTGCCAATCTTGCGCTTCAACCAACCATATGCTCTTTCATGATGAGGTCGAAGCCCTGCTAGCGAAGGAATGCATCCAACAGTGTTCTGTCTCATTGGTCCTCTCATGCCATAATTTGCTCATAAATCCACTTTGTTCTCCCGGAAATAACTTTTTTTATAAAACATTACTTATGTGACTTCGATCTGATACCTCTCGATTCAGAGAGGAAATGCGCATTTGTATCATTTTGACTCTCCCCATCTCGAATTCTACTAATTTGATATGGGACTGGTTGTGAAGGGAAGCTTTGTGGGAGAAAGGAGGAAAAGGTCAGGCTAGTCAAGGCTTTACTCAAACATATGGGATAGATTACGAGGAAGCCTTTGCCCCGGTAGCCAAGATGAAGTCTGTTCGTCTCCTGCTCTCTATTGCTGCGAATCGAGATTGGCCTCTGTTCCAATTATATGTTAAAAATGCCTTCCTGAACGGGGACCTACAGGAAAAAGTTTACATGAGTCCTCCACCCGGTTGTGTAAGGGGGGGGGAGAACAATAGAGGTCAACTGGGGTGGAAGCCAAACGACGGGGCCGAGAATCTGTGATCGATCCGAAGAACCACTGCCAGATATGATTCTGCTTCCCCTTCGTACTACCCGATTCTTGCCCGGCTTTCTTTCGGCTTAAGTAAGAAGGCTGCGGTGAGAATGAGGATCACTTCGGAACTCTAGGAAAATGGGCGGGCGTTTTAGGGCGGGATCTAAAAGTTCTCCAACGTGTTGCGGAGCCTTCGGCCGTGAGAGGGTCTTTTGGCTTCCTCAGGGCCGTGTGAAGCTTAGCTTGCTTTAGCAGCCACGTGATGATTCAAGATTCGTGGTAGGCGTAGGAGCTGGGCGAAGCGGTAGCGAAGCTCAGGTGGTGATGCAAGTGCGCGGTGAGCGTAGTAACCCCCTCGGGCATGCTCTTTGTACAACCAAGCGAAGAGCTAGTGAGGGCCGGAATGGAATATCGTATGTAGTGTAGAATCGGATCTGAAGCTCTTTACTAGGATTGGAACAAGCGAGGAACGAGTGACCACAAGCTCCGCTTAAGCGCTCGACATGCAGTTAGCTTAAAACATGTTCATCATGTGGCCGAGCGAAGCGCACCTGCGTGAAGCAGCCTAGCATCACTTTAGATAGGAGCAGAATGGATGACTTACAACTGAAAGTAAGTTCTTCGGATCGATATATCGTACGACGTAATGGAGATCTTGGTCTAGGTCCGGTGGTTCGCAGAATTCGGGACCTAACGATGTTCGATTCGTCACATGAACGGGAGCGGACGATTCCGTCGTCTCTCCCTTTTTCGGGGAATGGCTGCAAGCAATCACAAGCAAGTGATTGAATGAGTGGGGGGCTCCGAAAGCACATGCGGGATAAGCAGGTCTTTCAGGAGACGGTCTAAGGGTCCGGTCTAGAAAGAAAAGAGAACTCTCAACAAGCTGGAACTAATCAAGATCAATAGGAAGAGGAGTTAGCTATAAATTAATTTTTTTGACAAAGTTCATGCCACGACGATCTATATGGAAGGGCTGTTTTGTTGATGCATTCCTGTTGAAGTTGAAAAAGAGACAAACACTCATGTTTAAGCTCCCGGATCTGCTTGGATTATCGTATAATAAGAGGAGCCGTCTTAGGAAATGACTGAACTTAAAAGACAGATGCCACCGCTGCGAGGGAGTCACTTGTCTGATCTTGCGGTGCACTCACTCCCGTTACGAGAATGAAATGACGCCCCAGCTCGACTCGAGACCAAGACTCCTTCCTTACAACTCGCACCAATAGCGGCACTGAGCGGCCGGAGATTTATTGAAAAGGCAGCCGCCCCTCCCCCCCTAGCCGCCTACCTACTCGTGCTCGTATCTCGATCGGAGGTTAAGAGTGTGGTCCGGCGGAAAAACAGAAGTCGTCCGTATCAAGTGATACGTTAATTGCTCAGTAGTGCTTCGCCACTACCGTAGCTGGCGGAAATAGCTTAATGGTAGAGCATAGCCTTGCCAAGGCTGAGGTTGAGGGTTCAAGTCCCTCCTTCCGCTCTTGGCTTCGTCGTTTAGTGGTAACGAGTAGAGTAGGCATCGCCTCTCGATCCAATCCGTCTTTCCCTGGCCTCCCCAACACACTCTTGATACGAAAGAAACCTCCCGCCATAGAATAGAGAAGAAAGAGATCTAAAGTCTGGGTCCCCTCGATCACCCTTCCCTTGAACCTGAACTGGTCGAGAGAGATGAACCCGCACCACATTTGATAACCTTCGAACTGAAACCCCCAACTAGAGATGGAATTCCAGAACCTAAACAACTCAATGGAGAGCTCCGTGACCGGTTCAATTCAAGGGAAGGTCCACCAATAATGGAAAGGCCATTCCCCTCCCTATCCGTTTCTTGATCCCTCATTCCACGAATTCGTTGTTACTGATTCATTCAAGGACTGAAAGCTTTTCGTTTTATGAAAAGGCATAGACTCCCCACTTCTTTGTCTTATTAGCGCAGGTCTTCGTCAATGATGAAAGCCGCTGAACTTCAGACTCGAGTTGAGAAAGAGGGCTAGGCCAAGGATAGGAGGGCTTTCAGGGACTGGGGAAGACGGGTGGATTATAGAGCTAGGGGCAGATCAGAGGTTTGTCCATTGGGATTGGGCATGGACGAGCCTCGACTGGGCCAGCATTGATGAAAAAAAAACTTATCCCATCGCATCATTAACCGGTGTAGGATTAAAGATCAGGTCCAGGATTCGAGTCAAATCGACCTTCCCTCTCATCTCAGGGTGAGGCAAGGTAGCTTGCTTGCTCGTTCGTTGTTCAATATCTCGGCTGCTCAAGAAGTTGGACTAGCTGCTCCTCCGACCCGGAGTGGATTCTAGGGGAAGGGCAGAGCCTCACCTTGCAGTAAGTAGGAAGGTCTTCGTTGCTGGGACGGGTTCAAACTGGACTGAAGGGAGGAGGAATGAAAGACTCCGATCTTACTGGGGATTCATCACTGGCTAGGGCTTTCGAATCAAAGCATGGGCATCTGCAACTAAGAGGGAACAGTAGATCGTCGATTGAAGAGCCAGGTCAGTCAACTTCTATTGATTATTGATTCGACTAGAGGGACTCCTAGCAACTTGTAGGGGCCCCATGGAGATGCAGGAGCCGCCAGCCGAGCCGGATCGACCAATAAATGATAGGCCTGAGGGATGGGCTCATTCGACTAATTAGTGATCCCTGGCCCTACCTAACAAAGAGATGTCCCTAAAATAAGAGGGGATTGGTTGATCGGAAAGCTCGGGCAGGAGTAGAGTAGGACATTCCATAAAAATCTTTCTGATCCGCTAGCTCTCACTCCTTGCCCTATTAGGTCAAGCAGCTTCACTCCTCTCAAATCCTATTTTTTCATCGACAGGTAGGGTTAATTCTAAGGTTCCTTATTCCGGTTGTCAAGCGGAAGAAGAGGGAGAAAGAATGGGCACAGCCCCACCAGCAGCCCGCGTTTTCGACCCGAAAGGAATGGAAAATGAAACAAGAATCTGTGTTCACTATCTATGGAGCGGAGTGACTATCCTGAATCTCCTCTTCCCTATCTCCCCCTTGCCTTTTTTTCTTTTTATCGCCTAAAGGTAGTTTACTTGCTTACTTGTTAGAGTCAGGAGAATCCATTTCTTTTTTTTATTGTTTATTATATTATGATTGATCTGTAGTTCAAGGGCACTCTTCCTAATCCGAGTTTAAGATGGAATAAGACCCAGACGTAGAGTCCCGTCGGCCGGTAAGGGATTTTTTCTATTTATTTTTTATTCCCTTCAGTCCTTACCTTTAAAAAAGGGATTCTTATCTTTCCCCACGAGGTCTTCAAGCCAGATGGAGTAGTGCATCTCTGTCTTGAAAGCCGCCCTACAGATAGGAGTTCCTATCTCTACTGCCTATCCAACCCGAAGATTCTTATTCGTGGTGGAGTGCTTCGAGTAGGATCCGACCCCATCCCAGCAGTCAAAGTCCTTCCTGACCCGGCTCACCTGCCTCTGAAGCTGGAATGCCTTTCTAGAGGAGGCTACCCGAGGAATCGATAAGTTTGAAGTGGGATGTGGAATGTGATTGGTGATGGATGGTGGTTATGAAATAAGTTCTGCATCAGATGATGAGCCCGTGCGAAAACTTTTTCTTTTATTGGCGCCCGGCTATTCGATTGAGTCGAAAGCCTACCAACGCATAAAGGTTCCGATTCGAGCGAGAGCCCAAACGGGGGAGGCGAGAACGTCTTGATCGAAAGCTCCACTGTTCTGAATAATGAGAAAGACTTTTCAAAATTCGATCAAATCGATCGATAATCTTATCATCTGTTAGGTAGGCCAACCGACCGACCGAGTTTTGTTGAAGCAACCATCACTGAAGCCATTTTTTTTGTAGCCAGCTCAACTCCATTTAACAGGTTAGTAGCGAAAGGTAAGGCTTCATTCCCGAGTGGACGAGAAGAAGGAGCAAGCCCTATTAAGGTTAAGGGAAGAGAAGAGGCTATTTTACTAGACTAGCTACCGAGCTGACTCAAGGAAGCCGGAAAGAAAGGGCCTCAAGACAGCTTCGGCAACAGAAAGTCGAGCTGAGGAATACGGAAGAGAAGCGGATTCAACTCAATCTTAGCCTAAGAGCTGTTCAGAGAAGAGAATCAAAGGTCAACGGCCAATGGAGGATTTATCCCTCCCCCGGATTCATCTTAAACCGACCGATATGCCGAGATGACATCCAGCACGAGAGCAAGAAAAGGAAATGGTCTCCGTGCAGCTTCAAGTCACGCCACTCTCACCAAGATAGAATCATGGTCACATCTGTAGTATATATATAGTTTATAGAAGCGGAATGCCAATCGACACTGGTAGCCATCGGGATTGAGTTCAGCTGCTTTGACGATACTGACGAATGGAAGAATGAATCAGATGAGCTCCAGTCTGGACTCTCATTGGTCAAACAGGCGCAACGGGCCAAGAGATAATAAAAGGACACCAGAAGAGCAAGAAAAAGAGCTGTATGATAAGAGTCCTTATCCTACCCACCCAATTTATTTAGTTTATGGGAGTAGCAAGAACAGCTCCATTTAAAAGGTTAGCCGCGTACCAAAGAGCTCGATCAGCTATTCTATTTTTCAGTCCGGTTGACGCCACTCGATAGGAAGAAAAGAGCATAAAGGTTTTTCGAAGGCTTCAAGCCCTGTTTCAGCTGAGAGCATTGATTCCCCTGGCACCTCTCTTCCACAGCTTGGCACGTTTAAAGAAGGTGCCTACACTAAAGTGTACAAAGTGGCATAAAGTTATTCTTTTCGGGTTCGGTCAGGAGGGACAAAAGAGAGATGCTTTCTATCAGTCAAAAGCGGATATCGCCCCCCCTCATGCTCCCACGGTCCGCTTACCGAGGAATAGAAAGGGAGGACCGGGGGCCAGAGCAAGTTGGGTTGGGGTATAGAGCCGTAAGCGCGGTGGGGGGGTTACAGAGGACGTGCTCGTACGGTTCAAAGAAGGGTATGATCAACTCGTTGTTGGGAACTTTCACTCCTCTATATTCGAAATATGCCTTTCTAGGAGCATTACGATCTGCAGCTCAAATGGTCTCTTATGAAGTCTCTATTGGTCTTATTCTTATTGTGCGCCTTGTGAGCGCGTTTGGATCCGCGAAGGCAATCGCTCGGATGTTCCCCTAACCCAACCCGGGAACGGACCGGAGGGAACCGCAGCATGGGGGATGTCCGCGTCTCGTCGCAAGGCTCATTTTTAGTTGTTACAGGGCTGAAAACCCACCGTGGTAGCATTTTATTAAGGAATAACTTCTATTTATCGACGATCCTGATTTCATTGCTTTCAAAAGGAAGCAACTATCATCGTTTAAGAAAATGAAGGCATCCAAGAAGGAAGGAGTCAGGTAAACTAGAGTGGAATTGAAAGACTACTTCTTGATGTGATGATTTAATCCAGTCTCATAAGGAAAAGAGATGTTCGGCAAGGAAACTGGCAGTGTTTCCAAGATAGATAGTTGTTGCCACGGATCATAGTGCATTGGCCATGACGCGGGAAGTAGTACGTACATTGGTTCAGAGGTGGGGCCCCAGTGCAGCTCTCAAAGGTGAAGATCTTTTGTCAAGGGCTCAAGCGCAAAGAATTATCCTCCTTTCTTTGTTACGTGGAGAGTTGCCTTTTGTATCTTCTAATAAGAGAGAGATTGAAAGCTTTGACTACTCTTAAGGTATACCACATTTTTGGACTAACTCCTAACTAGGTTCGACTTTACAGGAGAAAGAAGCGTCGATAAGGGAATCCCCTTCCAGGAAGATTTCAGGGAGCATTTATTTGTTTGAGCTCCCGCTTTGCTGGGGCCTGTTAAATGTGTTACTTCGTTGGATTTTAGGTGGGGAGGGAAAGGTCGGGGGTTTTTTCTCGATAGGAGTTAGAGTAACCCCTAACACTCTGCTCATTCTTAATTCCTGTAAAACAGCCCCCTCCCTATTTGATTTATGAACATTTTCTAAAAAATGAAAATATGAATCCCGGTAACTATTCAATTTTTGATTTATAGAAAATAAGATATATACGTAGCTACCAATAATTATAAGGTAGATACCCAGGAAAAGAGCCCTTAATTCTTCCTTTGAAAAAAGATCATTCAATCGTATGTCTTGGAATATTGAAATAAGCATATCTCGTCGTCGTTGAATCAGTCTGCCACATCGCGTATAAAGGGAATCGAAACCCCTCTGGTATCTGTACGTCAGGATCCAATGGAAGTGAGTGGGGTATTGGTCATACGACCAACGAGGAGATCTTACTTAAATTGGAGGCGGAGCACGGTATATGTTGAATCTCGAACCGATTGAGGTGGGGATAGACACCTGATTGAAACCTTCTTGACGACCTCGTTCCTGTTCTGTAGACAGGCACGGAAATCGAACACTGTCACTGGGCGCATTGTGAAGCGCTTAGCCGGGTCAGCCATTCAAAGAAAGACAGCATTTTCCTGACAAGCACTGGTCACTGAATCTGAACTAAGCACCGGACAAGTACGAACAACCAGAGAAGAGCGGCCGGTTGGCTGCTTTCTTATATAATGTAATTACTCGATCCATCTGAACTAACCCGGACGGGAACGGAACAGTCAGAAGCTTTGAAAACTTAACTACTATAGCTAGAGCTTGCCCTACGGAGAGCGGAAAGGACTCAGTTGGTATCCTTGATTGACCAAGGGAAAGGTGCTACACCCGTTCTTCCTTCCCTCTGATGCTGCCCCCTAGATGGGCCAAGCATGGGATGAAGATGATGTATGGGTGTTCTGTCTTTCTGCTCATCCCCATACACCCTTCTATATTATATAAAATATTATTTGAATCATTTGATTGATGAGAGTGGCAATGACATCAAATGTGAAAATGCTTTGGCTTTGTGACCTCGTTCCTTTGTCTCACGCACTGCTACTGCTTATCGAACTCAAAGAAAGACCATCCTCCCACTCCTTCTACAGGCTACAGGCAACGACACATTATCTATGTGAATCTCTACATACAACAGAAGATCTCGTTTTGAAAGCATATGAGCCCCTCCTAAGGTCATTCAAGGAAACGGACTGCTTTTGATGGGTATCAAGATTGTTGAACAACAAGGTAAAGTGCTGTGAACCTCCTGTCTTTGACACTACGAACCTAGCTAGATTCTCTTTCAGCTGGAAAGAGTAAAGAAAGGCTGATCTCCTGTGGTTGTTTATTCACTCACCGGCTATATATAGGGAAAGGGAGACTCCTATCCTACGAGTTACTTCCCTCTTCGACCTGGTCAGCCTTTAGTTGTTTTTGGGTGTTATCCATCTCCACCTCCCAGCAGTGAGATCTTTCTTTATCGTATCTGTCTATTGAGGGAAGAACAACCAATGCATATCCTAAGCGATTCAAAGACTAGCTTTCTGCTTTCTTCTCGGAAGGGCGTAACTCATACACACATTCTTATTGAATGATGTCTGCTTCTGTCCGTTAATGAATTGACAAAAGGGCTAGTGCATAGAGTGTGATGAATCTCCATCGAAGGAGTGAAATCGGTCTGTCTTGTTGACTGTCAGTGATTCGGTATTCTATGGACCAATGGAAGTGCTAAACCCTTTCTTTGACACTAGTTAGCGAACTGAGAACCCAGAGCTAGAGACGGAGATGCTCGATAGACGAACAGAACAAGTCCTCATTTCCTTTATGTCCTAGGAACCTAGATTCCCTAGGTTAGGATGCCCTAGATCGGTGACCATTAGCGATAGAAGCTCTTTCCCGGCTAAGCGCCCTATTCTTCTTCTACTGGAACAGAGATTGAAGCCAAGGAAGAGGGCAAAGCCATTCAATCAAGTGGGTATAGCGCGTAGAAGGCATGCCGCAGGCTCATTTCAAACAAAAAAGAATGAGTGAGTGGGCCGATCCATCCTATTCTTCATCTACGGGAAAGCATCCCAAGATAGATCAATTGGCTTCGTAGCTTGGTGCCGAGGGAAAGAAAGTAGGACTCCATTCCATTCTAATTATATTAACATCAATACCCTTTGTTAGCCATCTCTGTGAGTTCAATCCGGGGAAAGACCTCTATTTGGTAGTTCATCTAAGGCTTTTTCATTCTCTATCTAGCTATCTCGCATCAGTCCAATCAACAAGCATTCCTTTTCCTCTTCGCTAGCAGTAAGCAGATCCAGAAAGGTTCCTTGGTGTTCTATTCATGGAAGGCTGCTCATTCTTGTTCTCTCTATCCTCGCTACCAACACGCAGTGAACTCATCAATGCTTCCTTCTTCTAATTACCCCCGGGAGAGATAAGAGAGATAGATTGGTTCTCTATTCCCAGCAATCAAGGTAGCTATCTCATCCATCTGTAATTACTTGAACAACCCAAGGGCATGGATCAGACGATGATCCGCACATAGAGATGAGTGAGTCCTCATCATCGTGATTGACTTGAAGAGATAGCAAGTCAGGTATCTTGAGATCGCTACGTTCCATGAGTGCCCGCTCCCCGAGAGCCACTCTCTCCACTGCGCTTACTGTAAGTTGATGAAGATGGATGCCATGTTTCATTCCAATGAGCTTTATTATTGATTCTATCGAGATTCTCTTTTGACATATGTCTGGGGCAATCCATTCCATTAGCACTACCAAGCATTCCTTCTTCAACTACGGTGAGTTAAGATAGGAGTCCTTTTGCTCCCGTTAGACAAGCAAGGGCGAAATAGAAAAATCAAAAAGCTCCGTCTGGAAAATCAGAGTAGGCTAGGGCAAGAACCAATAGAATATAACGAACAAAGGAATGGGTCTTCACCACAGGCTGGAAAGCAAATCCATCAGCCTAGAGCAATGAGTCTTCGATGCCGAGTTCTTGATGGGCCGAGAAAGAGAATCCGAGAAAGAACGATGTCCGGCATGGATACCTTCTCTTCCCCGAGCAACAAGGACAAGGAAGCATTCTTTCAATGTGTCCTATGGGAAAATGAAGATGGATCATTTGATTCCACTTCTCCGTTCTAGGACATCCTTTTAGCAGAATGAGTGGGAGGCTAGATCGATGCTTTCCCAGTAGATCGATATAGAGAATCAGAGGACTCACTCTATCCAATAAACCGGTAGAAGTCCCACTAATAGAGTGGTGATCTTCCCCTTAGGGGTTAACAAGACAAAGATTCCACAGAAGCAGAATAACAAGTCTATAGGTCATGAAGGCATCTGGGATGCTGGCTTTGACGAGTAAAGGCAGTTCCTCTTTCAACAAGGGTTGCGGACAATGCCTGTTCTTCTTCTTTGATGATTCAATTTGTAGATGTCCCAGTGGACAGATCAAACAACGAAGCTCTTTCTCGATGTCAAGAGCATAGATGACATCTTTCTTTCTGGTTTGCTTTGCAGTTAGGCCTCTTTGTTTGGTTACGGGTCTCTCCCCTCAGAATGGTATCTGATTCAGGATAGCCTTTTGCCTGGCCGGTTTCCCAACCTCTTCCCACGCCCGGAGGCTTTTAGCTTATTTATCTTTACTTTAGTAGCTCGTGCTGATCTGGCTCAGCGAGGCCTTGATCCATATATCATTGAAAAAGGGTAGCTCACCCAACCGGAAAGCACCCCGTAAAGGCTGCTAGGGCTAGGGATAAAACATACGAAGAATCGAAGGAAGAACTCCCACTGGAAGGGTAGAAATCTTAGCTATACAGCAAAGCAACTACTCTTCCATAATGATGGGAAGAGAGTGAAGAACAAACTCAAGTCAAACACACTCTTATGTTTCAATTAGGACTGTCCCGGGCAAGGATGTGAGCCGGTTGCCCTTTTCTGTAGACACTGATATGGAACCGAAGACTGACTCTGTGGTCACTGAATCTGAACTATAACCAACCGGCAAGGACGAACCGGAGAGATGAGCCTGATTACATTCAATAGAAGCCCAATGGAAAGAAGTCCCTTGACCTGATAGATAATGCTTTCTCTTTGTTTCATAATGGTATAGAGATCCCGTGTTGAGAAACTGACT